TTAATTACGTCACTCATAGCCCTACCCTCAAAGGTCACCCCCAACCATTAAAAATACAATATTGATATGATATGAACACTGTATGAAAATTTAACAACCAAGGTCAAAGGTGCGAATAATGTGTACCACTTAATAAGACCCACCAATATGATGGTTTATATTGAGATGGTATACAATATTTATTTAGCAAAGAATTATTTAAACTATTTATTATATTTATTTAATTATTACTTAATAAATTTATAACAAAAAGATATTTAATATTTTATGAATTAAAATGATACAGTTAAAATATTATTGATCAAAATAAAACAAATTTTATACCTTAAATGCAATTAACTCACAAAAATTTAATTTAATGAATATTTAGTATACAAAACACGTGTCGGCGATCACAACACATGTTCTTGTGTACTTTGGAAGTCTATTGTTGAATCTTTCAAACCTATTTGTGACGGTAATGTCGGCTGTGAACTATGTTGGTCTTTACATTAAATTTTGACCATGATTTGTAAACCTTTGAGAGGACTGAATCAAACCGAAAGCTAATAGCGTGAACGTAGGAGTGAAGACAGAAGGGGAAGCAAGCGAAACACGACGCAGTTTTAGAGACGAGGATGCAGTCGCGGGAGAAAAAAGAAATAAATATATATAATTGTTATGCTTTTGAATGTGGATCCGGATCCGGAGGCTAATCCGATTTGCGAGGGCTTTTGTCTATTATGCCCCTGAACCCCTCGTCCTTCTAAGTAAATATTAGGTCTAACAGATATCATGTTATTATTGATATATAGTATATTTGTCTAATAATCTATATTATAAAATAGTTTACTATTCAAATTTTAAAAGATAAATAAAATAATTTTTACTATTCGCGATTGAAATTATTTTAAATTTTACTTTAAAGTTAATTTAACTGTTAATATTAACACCCTAAATTTAATAAGAAAATAATGTTCCTAAGAGTATGTTTAGAATGACTTTTTAAAAGTACTTATAGAAATTATTTTTCATAAATACTTAAAATAAAAAATAATTTTTGAAATCACTTCACCACTATCTCTACCACCACCACTGCTGTCGTCGTCTCTGTCACCGCCACCTCCACTACCACTATCACCACCACCACCACTATCACCACCATCACCCGTCGCCCCTACCGCCACCGTCACCATCGTCATTGTCGCCACCACCATTGCCGCCACCGTCACCGTCGCCCCCATCACTGTCGCCACCATGGTCACTGTCATCCACCATAACTATCACCGTCTCCTACCACCACCACTGTCGCTTTCCATCTCTCACCCCCACTATAAATCATTACTTAAATTATTTTATCTCTTCTCTATATTTGTGATTTGAACTTGAATATAAATACAAATATATTTATCGTTTACTATTTTTTATTACTTTGTGCCTTCAGGCACAGACAATAACTAATTATTTTATAAATGAGTAAGATGAACTCTATTTAGATGATTATTAAATAACATAGTAGAGTCGTTACTAGAATACATGAGATCCACCTACTTATTTGTTATATTTTTATTAAGTAGTAACACCACATGATAGTAATGATATTATGTCATCGTTATACTCAATATTTTTTTCGTTCCTCCTCTGATTGAAGGTGTTTGGTATATGGGTTTTATTAGGATAAAAATGGTTGGATTTAAGAAAATAATCCAATCTCATGGCCTATTATTTGTTTGGTCCGTTCTATGAGCCATTTTTTTTATTTTTTTATCCCGAACCGAATTGAATAATTCCAATACAATCACTTATAAAGGTTTCATGAAAACACATGGGGTTGTGGGTTTCAAATCATAACCGAATGGGTTCATTGGTGAAAAGATGAAACGATAAGTTCGTTCAAGATGAATATCCAATCTAGATTATAAAGAGGGCATTCTGAGCTCAATGAAATGGAATATTTACTTTTCATGTAGTCTCACATATTCTCTATTTAAATGATTGGTTTTGCAGGATGAATGAAAGAATAGAAAGTGAGAGTGATACATTTTTTATTTTTTAAGAGGATAATTTTTTTTTTTTTTTTTTGTGTTTGGTAAAATAGATGAAAAGTAGAAATGACTTACTTTTTTGTGTTTAATAAGATGGAAAAAACATTCTTTTATTTTTTTAAATAAGGAAAGAACAAATTTTTTTTTGACAGTCTCAAAAGAAACAAAAAACTGAGTCATCAAAAGGGTTCTATTTATAAAAAGAAAAAGAAAAAGAAAAGCACTTTCAAAAGTAAATCAAATTCTGTTATTTAGATTGAGAGAAGTATATGAATTAAGTGAAACTAAAAAAGAAAAAGATTTTATAATCAAAAATCACATAATATATGAATCGTTTAATCAAATTCGATCTGAATCATATTTGTTCGACACAATGTTGTCAATATAAATTTCGAGAAAGAGATACAATTTCAATTTTAAATTAATAATATATTAAATAATATAATAAAATCAATAAAAATAATATTAATTAAATCAATAAGGACTTGTGTTGGATTAACAATACAGATCTAATCTACATAGATACAAAAAGTGTAGATGGGGGAATAAATAGGATAGATAAGAAGTAGTTGGATTATGCTAAAGATTCAACATCTATTTTCGATTTTTTAATAAAAAAAAATGAAATATCCAATGGATTTAAATTAAAACTTATTTTTCGGTAAATTGATTGCGAAATACTTTTTTAGAACCTCCAATATCTGTTTTACATCTTCTATGTGAAAATGTTTAATTTTCATAAGATCTTCTTGAACATTATTCAAAAGGTCCAATAATGTATATATACTGGACCTTTTGAGGCAATTATAAATCTTGGGAGGCAATTCTAATTGGTCAACAAAAATTGATTTCAATGCTATTTTTTTTTCTTAGTTTAACCAATTTATCATGAAAATTAAAAGGAGGTAAATGAATTGTGTGTTGATGGTCCTTTAAATGTAAGTTTTCTTTTTTTATATGTAAAAATGGAATAAATAAATCAATCAATTTCTGGAGTATGAATTAGCTATACTAATACCCTACCCTGTCCATCTGGAAATCTTACTTCAAATTTTTTTGGTACCGGGTAAAAAATACTTCTTCTTTACATTTATTACAATTCTTTCTCCAGGAGAATCATAATTGGAATATAGTTATTATTTTACAGAAACCCGGTTCTTCTTTTTCAAAAAAAAAAAATTAGAGATTCTTTTTCTTTTTATATAATTCTCATGTATGTGAATACGAATTTATCTTGGTTTCTCTCTGCAATTAATCTTTTCATTTACGATCAACATCTTATGGAGTTTTTATTAAATGGATATATTTCTATGGGTAAATAGAATATCTTGTAGAAGTATTTGCTGAGTCATTTCAGGTCAATCTATGGTTATTCAAAGATCCTTTTATATATTTTGTTAGGTATAAAAAAAAAAATCAACTATGGCTTCAAAAGAAATTTTTATTAAAAAATATAAATACATATTATATCATTATATTTATATATGAAATTAATATATATATACAATATGAAATTTATAAATATGATAATGTATATATCAAATGATATATAGACAAATAACATATTTTTTAACACATATAATTAATTTTTCATTCATTTTTTCTCCTAATTTTAGAGGATTGATTTTTGTGAGTTAAAAAAAAAGTTAATTAATCCATTTTTTTATCATTTTTATTTTATTTTTATCAAATATGATATTTTATTTATCCCTCAAATTTTTCATCCTTCTATTTTTTCATCGTACCTAACATTTAAATAAGATATATTTCAACATAACTAATTAACTTTTCATTCACATTTCTTTCAATTTTGGAGGGATTGATTTTAGTGAATTGGAAGGAAAACTCATTCATCTATTTTTTTATTTTTTTTTCATTACTAAATATGATATTTTATCTATTTCTCTCATTTTTCACTTTTTTATTTTTTCATAGAACCAAACGGAACATTAAGCCTAGATATTAAATCCATTGATGCTCCAATCCCATCGAGTTAAATCTACTTATTTATACCAAGAGCAACCACTTACCCACGCATCCCCCAAAAAAAAATAATAATAAATAACAAAAAGAGCATGCCGAACTAGAACTGAATTACCAATCGGGTCAATAAGATCGGGTATAACCAGAGGACTACATTCATTAGGACATTTTGTGCTAGTTGTGACCACTCGTTTGTTTCCAGGTCTAGGAAGACCCTAACGTTAGTCTGCAGATGGACCCGACTATCTTGGGCGCCTCAAATGCTTGAGACTTAAAATAGAAATGTTAAATAAAAGTATTTTTATTTTTAGTATTATTTGTTTAAAAAAATTATTTTATTTTTAATTTTTTTTGCAAGAGACAGATAAAAAGAATGTGTTAATATTATCGAGAAAAAAATATTAATTTTTTTTTTTATTTTTTACCATAAAATGTTTAATATCAACTTTTATTTTTGTTATTTTGTAGAAAGAGAGAAAGTGAGTTTGAGTAAATATAAGTTGACTTTTGAATATTTTTTAATTTTTGAATTTTTAAATTTTATGAATTGGATTATAAGTCCAAATTATTATAATAAAAATTTTAATTAAATTTAATTTTTTAAAATTTTTTTGTAGAACTTAAAATTTAGTTGATTTAATTTTTTTAGTAGATTAATGACGTACCTAAAAATTTTATTTAATTTTTTTTTTGTTCCGTACCACATATTTGGTTGGTCTCCACGTTGAAAGCTCAGTTATTCCTCCGTCACCTGTGGTCACTACTCTGACGTCATCCACCAAAATCAGCATGACATCAAACTCTGGAATAACGTCCAACAGACCCGTGCTTTCAGAGCCATCCATCCATTCCCACTTATAATTCAAACCACCCCACCCACCCTCCATCACAAGTCACCTCCACCAATACAAACATGCCTCAGAATCTTTTGCATTGTTATTCTCGGTAGGTGCATCTTAAACGACTACGTTTCCTGCGTCGTCTCCGGTGAAAATGGAGGTGGAGAAAAGAAAACGCGTGGAGGAGAGAGAAATGGAGGGGAAGAAATCGAAGGTGCGTGAGGAGGAGGGAGGGAAGGCAGTGGTGGAAGATGAGGAGGTAGAAGAGTTCTTTGAAATTCTGCGGCGGATACAGGTGGCGGTGAAGTATTTCAAGAAGAGCAACGGCGAGAGTGGACGTGAGGTGACGGTGAAAGGATCGAGGCTATGGGGTCCGTCGTTTGAGTGGAAGGATTTTAACGGAGTTAACGGCGGTGAAGGGCAAGGTGGTGTGGAGGAGGAGGAGGAGAAAGCGGGTTTGGATCTTAATGCTGAACCAGGATCCGACTCCAAGTCTGTTTAGATGAGTTTCTCACGCAGACCGCGCAATTTAGCTAACATTGATTTTTATGTTTTTTTTTTCTTTTTGGCATCCTGTTGTTCAAGTAAGGGAAATATATTATTATGAATTTATAAGATGTTTAAATGTGACCTCGTTTGATGGTATTTTTTGTTCTTTCTCTTTTCCTTATCCGCTGTTTGTGTTATTTTACTGATCCTTTTGGGTTGTTGGGGGAGGAGGGGGGAGGGGGTTTAGATTCCGGCTCTTCCACCGTTAAAATTTAACGGCAAGAGTATTACCGATCATAACGGCATCATTTTGAATTAAAAAGATGTTATTTTTATTAACAACACCCTACGGTTAATTTTGTAACAAGAGAGGATTCTCAATTGGGTTTAATTACTCACCAAAACTGGATTGATAAAAAATTTTGGGAATAAAGTTTTTAATAAATTCGGAATAGGGTGAATGAGCCGGACACTCAATTGATACTCGTGAAAGATTAAAAATTTCAAATTGTATTTTTTATTTTTTGTATATTACTTAATTTTAAGCATTTAAATGAAAATTTTATACTTACATTTATTAAAAATAGACTGGATTACTATCTTTTAATGTGATTGAGAGTGTAATATAATAATTTTAATATTTTAAAAGTGTAAGTCGAGAATTTAAAGATATTTTTAGGTGCAAAATATTTTCCGACCTTTGTGATTCTGTGATGCCAAACTGAATATTTTGCAATGTAAAGTGTCATTTAATTCTATTTGATGCTTCATCTAATAAGATTCAGTTATACATAATGGTAAGATTTATTTATTTCAATTTACAAAGAGAGAGTGTTTATACAAACGCACTTCTATCATTTAGACTAGTGATTCTAATAAGTAAAATCGAGGATACACCTAGGGTGTNTATTATTATGAATTTATAAGATGTTTAAATGTGACCTCGTTTGATGGTATTTTTTGTTCTTTCTCTTTTCCTTATCCGCTGTTTGTGTTATTTTACTGATCCTTTTGGGTTGTTGGGGGAGGAGGGGGGAGGGGGTTTAGATTCCGGCTCTTCCACCGTTAAAATTTAACGGCAAGAGTATTACCGATCATAACGGCATCATTTTGAATTAAAAAGATGTTATTTTTATTAACAACACCCTACGGTTAATTTTGTAACAAGAGAGGATTCTCAATTGGGTTTAATTACTCACCAAAACTGGATTGATAAAAAATTTTGGGAATAAAGTTTTTAATAAATTCGGAATAGGGTGAATGAGCCGGACACTCAATTGATACTCGTGAAAGATTAAAAATTTCAAATTGTATTTTTTATTTTTTGTATATTACTTAATTTTAAGCATTTAAATGAAAATTTTATACTTACATTTATTAAAAATAGACTGGATTACTATCTTTTAATGTGATTGAGAGTGTAATATAATAATTTTAATATTTTAAAAGTGTAAGTCGAGAATTTAAAGATATTTTTAGGTGCAAAATATTTTCCGACCTTTGTGATTCTGTGATGCCAAACTGAATATTTTGCAATGTAAAGTGTCATTTAATTCTATTTGATGCTTCATCTAATAAGATTCAGTTATACATAATGGTAAGATTTATTTATTTCAATTTACAAAGAGAGAGTGTTTATACAAACGCACTTCTATCATTTAGACTAGTGATTCTAATAAGTAAAATCGAGGATACACCTAGGGTGTATAAAGCGGTCCCTCAACCTATATGCTAGTTAAATAAGGAATTGTATTTCAATGGAAATTTGAACCCACATCAGATACTTGGATATAATTCTTCTAAACAATTAAAATCCGTCATACCAATTACGTTTTTTGTTATTTTAAGAATTTGAACCATTGACTTCAAGAAGACAAAACGATAAAAATGTTAGATTGTTACATAATAAAAAATTGTGACGGGTGAAATGATGTTTTTTTAGTCGTATGATTCAAGTTTGCAGGAGGCAACAAAAAGTAGGAAAAAATAAGGAAAGGAATAAGAAACATCATCGGTGTTTCCCATGCTCCTCCTTTCTCTCTATTTAATTAATTTAGTGATCAGTTTTGACCAAATTGTTATATTTTTATTCGTTTCAAATTGTCGATGATGCTGAATAAACGGTTTTTATTTTTTATTTATATTATGTTAGAATCAAATTTTATTTAAAAAAAAAAAAAAGAGGTGTAAAAGCTATTGAGAGCACGAACGTCACCATGTTCGTGGTAATGTTTATTAATACATGTGACATTTAATTTATTTCAATGTCTTTATTGTATATATAATAGTAAGATCAAAGACTTTTTTTTTTGCTGGTTTGATCAAAGACCTTAATAGACCACTAAAGTATACCCAAAAAATGTGTTGTGCGTGTGATGACAAAAACGAATAGAAACATAAAAGGCCACGTGTTTCAATATGGGAGTAGTTTTTAACACGTGACTAGCGGGTATACAAAAAAAAAAAAAAATGGCATGTCTCGCAATATGGGAATCTTTAGTCAGCACGACCTTCTGTTTTTTTTTTTTTGGGGTATTGTAGTCGGGTTGCACCTTCCCTCGAAAGTTCATAGGATAACTCCAAAAAAAACTGTTAAATTTTAAATTTAAAATGTCTCGATTTATAGATTATTCTTATTTACACTGGACTCCCCTTGGAATTAATCAACCGACGGTGGGGTTAGGGTCATAATGGACCTATTTTTCATAATTTTTGATTTATTGGTTCAAAATTGACATTTAAAAAAAAAATTTGAATTATTACGAGATGATGGGCCGGTCTATGCTTTGGAGTCTTACCTGATTCTGATCATCCGGGCTAACGGCCCAAAATATCGGTACAAATTACTCATTTATAAGTATAAATACATATGCTAATATACATACAATTAATTTTGACGAAAGTTGATAAATAAACTCTAAAATGTAGGTTAATTTTAAAAAATAAAAAAGGTTCATTTGAAAACCAGTACAGTAAATTAAACATAATTGTAAAAAAAGTGCACAGAAAAAAAATATGTTGTAAAAAAATACACTACTGAGATATAAAAATTGAACTGCCAAATTCCTAAAATTTATTTTTCTAAAAACCGTTCTAGGAATATATTAATTAATTAATTATATACACAACGATAATGGTTAATCGTTGAAATATAGGAACATTTATTCGCGAAGCACTTCATCTTCAAAAAACATTTGGGCTTGTTCTTCCTCTCCAAAAATTACTTCATCTTCATTAGCGATAAGTCTTAAAATTATTCCCTCAACATCTATAGGGTTTCGTCTTTAAAAAAAAAATCCTACTTGTTCAGCCCATTTGATGTAAAGATTGTCAACAACATCTATTTTTTGAAGATTTGTTCGCCATTTGAAGACCAAGACAAATTGTTGAAAGTTGATCATTGGCCTATGTGAAATACGGTGTTTCTACCATATTAATTCATTGTGTGTGAATAAACTATGTATATCTCTTAACTACCGACTGTGTTTTCCTAATAGTGTAACGAAGACAGTGTTCAGTGANGGTGTTTCTACCATATTAATTCATTGTGTGTGAATAAACTATGTATATCTCTTAACTGCCGACTGTGTTTTCCTAATAGTGTAACGAAGACAGTGTTCAGTGGTTTTGCAGATGTGGTAACAAATTTAAAATAGAGCTGGACTGTTTGAATGAAATTATATGAAAATATATGTTTGACAAAATATAATAGTACAATATTTTGTATAAGTTTCTTGTCACACTATTAAGGTGTTCGTGTATTAAAAAATAGAAAATCACCTTTAAAGTGACAGACATAGACCTAATGTAGTCATGAATTCAAACCTTATAATTTATTAGATTGAATGATAAAGATAAAATAATATTTACGGACTTACATTAATAAATGACTTCAAGGTCAAAGAAGAAGATAACAAATGATACAGTTGTAAAATTTAAAATTCAAACCAACTTATTTATCCTCAAAATAAACGAAAGAATCAAATCTTCCATTAAATTATGAGATTTTTAATACGTACATATAATATGAAAAAAAAATCAGTTTTCAAAAGTAAATCGCCTAAATTAAGAGAGGACACAAATGTCAAAAAAAATCAAAAATTTCAAATTATTTACTTGGACACAATTAAGAACTAAAATTAAGCACTTCCTTATTTTATATTTTTTTTGTATATTTTTTTACGATTAAATCCAATAAATCCAAAATACTTAACTTTGGTCAGTCTGGAACCTTAACAGATCAAATGGACTAGCACTGTATGGGTGGCATTATTCTGGCCCAGTTGAAGAGGTCCGAGCTGGTAATAATGGACATGACCCGGGCCAGAACTACAAAATGGGCTGTTTAAACGTCCGAGGCTGGATTATAATACTCCTTTGGTAGGAAGGTGAAAAGTAGGAAGGATGGAAAGTAAGAATGATATATTTTCCTTCCTTTGTGTTTGATTGGATAGATGAAAAATAAAAATAACTATTTTTTTTTTGGTGCTAGCTAAGATCAGAGATGACAATCTTGTAGTGTCATGTCAGATTTGTGTTGAATAATTACGGATTTATGTTGAATATTAGTCAAAATTAACTTAACTCAGTTGCGAGTTGGCTTGTTTATTTTCGTATTAAGTTCGAGTCATGTCATCGTGTTGAGTCAAAAATTCACCCTTAGTTAAGATGAAAAAAATATATATTTTTTTAATTTAATTTTTAAATTTATTTTTAAAATTTATATATATATATATATAAAGATATATAGACAAATAAGATACATTTCAACATAAATAATTAACTTTCCATCCACTTTTCTTCCGATTTTGAAAGGATTGATTTTGGTGAATTGGAAAGAAAGTTAATCCATTAACTTTTCCATCTTTCCTACTTGTCTTTCTTACCAAATATGATGTTTTATTTATTCTTCTAATTTTTCATCCTCTCACTTTTTGATCGTACCAAACAGAGTATAAGGGTGTTATAGGCTAGCCCAATAAATTATCTTAAATGGGTTTCGTTAAGGGTTCACTGGGCCAATTAGGTATAACCATGTAATATCCTTGTGGCCTTAACAGCTATTGTTTGTGTTTTTGTGCGCGCGTGCAGGGCGTGCCCTTGTACCCTAGCAAGAGCACTCAAAGATGGTGGGGCCCGTGGGGGTCCAAACATGTTTGCGTACGTGTTGGGTTTCATGGCCACCACTCCACTCCATTGTTAAATATTAAAATTGTGAATTTAAACTTCGGCGCCTCCTCTAAGGTTCCTCATGTATCTGGTGTTTAAAAAAAAATATTCGTCTTCTTTCTATATTATCTTCTCATTTTTCCCCTCTTTTCATCTTATTGAAGTAATTAAATAGAGAATTACGAAATGTTACAGAAAGGTAATCATAATTTTCAAATAAATCTTGTATAGTTACTTGAGGAGGAGAAGGGTATGAGGGGAAGTGGATGTATATGTGACACATAATATTAAAAATTATGGAGTATGGAGATAACACATCCCAAGACCTTTGCTTTCTATTATTTTATTTTTTCAGCTACCCTTACCAAGAGGGCAGATAATTTTTAGACGATCTACTCGAACTTAATTCTAATATAACTCAATTTAAACTCTGGTCGTGTTTTAAACGAGTTAAATTTAAATAATTTTTTACATTAGTTTAAAAACCGAGCGTAAAAGTTAAGATTCGATTCGTTTATATGTAAAATAATTAAGTTATTTGAATCATTTTCTAAACAAGCTAAACTTGAACAAATTTTTTAAATCATTTAAAAAAATAAGCTTACAAAAACTCGATTCGATTATCAGTCATACTTACCAACCATGCCATTTTATTTGAAACTAAAGGAATCAAAAGGTTACATAAAAATTGGAGGTAGGAATAATGGAATTTTGGGAAATTTTGGTGATGCTAAAATCTTGAAGGGACAGTGGATGATCAGCACATGTCCCCATCACTTGCATAAGGTATATTTGTCCAAGTCTAACAAAGCTAGCTGCCATTCCAATTTTCTTCAATACCAAGGAAATTATGCAGACAACACATATGAATATGTCAACAAGAGGCATCTTTTGCCCAATTGGAAAGGTTGTTTGAGAGAAAATGTCAATCTTCATATGCTTGAAATCATCACATGGAAAAGAAAACTCCTCTAAAGAAAGATATTGCCTTCAAAGTTGTTCCCCTTAATAAAGAATTGGAATTGGAATTTTCTTTGAAAATCTATAGGCTGAGACTTATTAGTCCCAAACCAAACAAAGACAAAGTATTCTTATGGTTTGATTGGGTAACTTGAACAATGTTTTACGTGTTTTATTAAAAAGGTCAAGCTTCAACAACCCAATTCTTTCATCTAGAATTGCCTAGGATGCTTTCTCATCTTCTAAATAATTGCATAATCTATCACCTACTCTGCTTAATCTTTCTCTTTCACAAATTACGTTACGAAGAAAACAATTTGTACAAGACTGTTCTTACTGTGGAATATAAAGATAATCAAATACATGCAATCTTAACCCGGTAAGTGTAGGACTCTTTTCATGACTCTACTGTGCAATGCACAAATCATTATGAGGCAATTTTACACCACCACTAATGGTCCATTTGATAGGGCGGATAGAAAAATGGAAGGATAAAAAATAAGATTGATACACTTCTTATCTTTTAATGGAAGAATCTTTCGTTTCCTCCTTTGTTTTTTGTAAGAGGGATACAAAATATGAATGATTAATTTTTTTTATGTTTGGTAAAACGAAAAAAATATTTTTATTATATTTTAATATTTTTTAATAAAAATATAAATACCAATCTACATAATTACTTTTACATTCACTTTTCCTCCCAATTTTGGAAATATTAATTTTGTTGAATTAGAAGAAAAACTCATTCATCAATTTTTTCATTATTCTTTTTTTTTTCTTACCAAACATAATATTTTATCTATTTTTTTAATTTTTCATCTTTATGTTTTTTTATCATACCAACCAAAATATGACTAATCCATTATTGGAGAAAATTGTTCAGTGGTCTTTTTATTTGTTTGTGGAAAAGGTGACAGGCGTGTTTTGTTCGGTGGGTCTAACATTTTATTATTAAACTTTAAAATATTTTACTTGCCCGACAATCAAACAAAGGTTTCGGCGTGTCGCCGACTAACCGGATATTTTGCTTTCACCGTCACGATATTAGCTTATTGCGTTAAAAATGTTTTTTTTTTTTTTTTTTGCTATTACAGTTAAAATGTTTGGGCTAATTTAATATTTTTCTCTATTTTAATTAAAAACAGATTATTTATTCCAAAACTAGAAAACAATTTGTCAATTGTCAGCTCGTCTAATCCACAAAACTCAGAACTCTTTCAATTGAGTCGTGTTTGGTTATTCAAAAAGTGTCGATCGTGTCGTGTCTGGTTATTGAAAAGGTGTCAATCGTAATGTGTCGTATCACTTTTATTTGTATTATTTTCTTATTGTGTTAATAAAAAATTATTTAATTCTATAATAATTCATATAATATTATTTAAAAATTAAAAAATATTTATTTTTTATTTACAATACTCGTTAAATACTTATTTTTTTTTTATCTACAATACCTGTTATTCGTGTCTAATCTTAATTTGACCAATTTATTACTCGTGTTAATTAATCGTGTCATTTTCGAGTTTTGTGTCAAGTCGAATTTGCGTCAATGGGTAAAATTCGCACCGCTTGGCATGCGTAAATGCCACTCTTTCAATCTCCTTCAAGGATCATCAATGCATTTCTTTCATTAATTGTTGAAGTATAATTAACAACTTTAGGGTGACTAAACAAAAAAAAAATTAAAAATCATCTAGGACAAGTACAAGATTGATCAATATTTTTATGGGAAAATAAACTATGATTTGCCTCTAATGACTTCCTTTTTAAAAGTGATTATGTCATACAACAATTGCTAATTTCAGAGTTTATGTCAATGATACATTAAATAATAACTACATCTTTTTGGCTTTCTTGTGCAGAGATCTATGTTCCCTAGGACATATATTTTAGGATTGTACGCTACTAACTTTGGATGCTTCCCATATTTTGGCTTTTCGGAAATGTGTCATGTTTTTTTTATCAATGGGAAAGTAACTTCTGATTTTTTTCCTAATTTTTTACTTCCATAATAATCAAAGTAGATGTTTTTTTTCTCGAATTCCAATCGTTTGTAGTTTAGATTGCTCTCGAGTTTGTAAAATCATCTCTAATGGTGACACAAATTTTTATTTAAATTTGAATAAAAAATTTAATTTAGTATGCATTTCTATAAAGAATAAACTCAATTTTACTTGAAATTTTTCACACGGAATGCTTAAATTTTTAAGAATTCGGGGTGAATATTTTAATATTATGTTCCTGAGTGAGCTTAACACATAATGCAAAAGGGATTTAGAGAGAGAGAGAGAGAGACTCTTAAATTTGATTTAACACAATTTTTTGAATTTGATTTAAGTTTTGTAACATTGCTCTTGCATCAATGTGATCGCTCTCAGCCGAGCCGAGACAATGGGGAGAGCCAAAAAAGAGAGCCGGAATAGCTAAAAGGTGTGGCGTCATTGACTAGATCGATAGGCCCCATGGAACTGACCCGGATTTCAAATAAAGAACTCAAACCTGCTTTTTACGGAATAAAACACAAAAAGACAAGCACCTGCGTCATTTTCATTACTTTCTCTCTCCACTATCTCTACGTTTGTCTCAGCCATATAACCTTCCATCTCTTTACCATTTCTCTCCACAACCACTTCTTTTCTTGAGTTCTCTCTTCTCTCTCTCTCTGTGTCCAACCATAACACCTGGTTTTCCCTGTTTCTGCCTTTCTCCATTGTGTTTTCATGGAAGAGATGAGTAACAAGAAGCGAGTCCGTGACGACTCGGACGAGTCACCTGAAGTGAAGAGACTCAGAGAGGACATTCTCAATGATCTGGATGATCCGGATCAATGGACGGGAACCGAGGATCTGAACTTATTTATGAAGAGGTTTGAAGAAGAGATTAAGGGCGTTCCACCGTGTGTGAATTTTGAGAATCTGACGTCAGATTCCGGCAAGTTACAGCTGGATCTCGTCGACCTGTTTGAAGCATCTGACGATGAACTCGGCCTCCCTCCATCAAATACATCGCCAATCGAGGTTCAGAATCAGGAGGAGATCTCGTCGTTAGAACTCAGTGAGTTATGGTGGTTTGACGTTCAGATCACAAGCTATGACTCGTTTGTGTCTTCTGGAATCGGTACTACCGATGGGCATAACACCGAGTGTGTGGATTTTGATGAATTGTTTGATTATTCGGATCTTGGTTCTGCTTCATCTATTGTGGCGGTCTGAAACGTTACCCCTCACAGGAAAACCAACATGACATTTTGTAGTGTTTCTTTTTCATTTTTTACATTTTGTAGTGCTTCTTTTCCATTTTTCTGGTAACTAGTTTGAGCGGGAGGTTGGTTCTTTTGAGGTATTAGAAGGGTTGAGCCGAAGATCTCTGAAATATCAACAGTCAGACCGAGTTACCGAATAAATTACTACTATTGAATTAATAATAAATTTTAGTATTAATTGAGACATGTTATTAATATAATAGTTATTAATATTAAGCAATAATTAAAATCAACAAATTAACATCAAAGAGTGTTTTCTCTTTTGGATATGGATGCATTAGACCAAGATGGCCGCATATTTGATGGTGTAAAAGAAAATTTGTTTGTCAATTTTATTGAATGAAAAGTGAACAAACAATACTGAAAATCTCAATCGAATCCTATATTCATTAAGCAGTACGATAGGAATTTAATTTGAGAATCTAATTAGATCACCAAATCATTACAACTACTGAATTAGTTAAGAGTTATAATATTAAATTGAACTCATTTTTAATCAAACGATTATAATTAATTAAGTCTCTAAATTAAATATAAATAATATTTTTATTATTTGTTAGCAATACAGTGCAAAAAAATTTTAAAAAAATAAAAAATCAAATTTGTCCACTAAAATGCTATGTATCATAAATCATGCCAATTAGTGTGGCATAATTAAAATTGATAGTAATTAGGTCAGAGAATATAATTGGCCGCAAGCGTTGGCATAATCAAAAGTTTCATAGTGTGGAGTCAAATAAAATATTATTGTTATAAATTAATCACATTTTTGGGGAACCAAATAAAAAATAACCTCAAATTGATTACAAAAATAACCGATTTGTGTAGATAAAGAGTAGTTTTTTTAAGATTGAGATTTTTACCTTTATGCTCTGTTTGATAGGAAGAATGAAAAATATGAGAAACACATTTTTTATCATTCAAGAAAGAAAAGTAAGAATGATACATTTTTCTTTATTTGTGTTTGGTAGGATGGATAAAAAATAAAAATAATTAATTTTTTTTTCGTGCTTGTTAAAATTAAAAGTGACAATTGAGTCATGACATGTCAGGTTCGTGTCGAGTCATTGGAGGTTCGTGTCGAATATTAGTTAAACCTAAGTCAACTTATTTAACTAATCGTGTCGTATCGAGTTTACCTGTTTATTTTTTTGTCGTGTTCGTATTTCTATATATGTTGATCCGCATAAACTTTGAATAAAAAATTTAACGTTAATATTATACCTTCACTTATTTAATTCCGTAAAATTAACTTAAATAAATACAATAATAAGTAAACATATTTTTTTTTATATAATAATTATGTCAGTGTTTAATAAATAGTTATAAATAATTAATATTTTATGTCTATAATAATAGTTAAACATATTAATTTTGTATGACCATACAAACGAGAAAATAGAGTAATTGTTTATTCTTAAATAAACGAGTTGATGGTGTCAATTTTATGTTTGACAGGTTTAACTGAATAAGAGCTATTTATATTTCGTGTTCGTGTATCAGGTCATTTTCAAGTTTGTGTCGAGTTATAATCAAGTTCGTGTTATAAAATTCATATCGAGTTCGTGTCGAGTTATAATCAAGTTCGTGTCATAAAATTCATATCGAGTTCGAGTCGTATTAAGTCAAAAAATTTCACTCCTAATTAAGATGAAATTTTTTTTTTAATTTTTTTAAAAATATATAAATACATATTTTTTTATTATATTTATATATGAAATTAATATATGTATATATCAAATGATATATATAGACAAATAAAATACATTTTAACCTAAATAGTTAACTTTTTATCCATTTTTTTTTAAATTTTGATGAATTGGAAAGAAAATTCATCCATCTATTTTTATATCATACCAAACAAAACACTAAATTATAAGCAGGTCATAGATTATACTCCTACAATATAAAATTGCAGGGAAGGCAACAAGTTTGTTTAAACGTATATTGAAGAGTTACATATGCTTTCTTTTTGCAATAATCTTAATGATACCGGATTCCAAAAGATTGTTCAATTTATCGGGGGTTTGTATATTGCCATGCATGATAGAGATTTTTTGCAGCTTTTGTTTTCTTTAACAGAAGTCGTTCACTTAGCCCCGAATAGTAAAAACCAATTGAACGGGGCTAAGACTTAAGTACAAAATCATAGTTATTTTGGCTCATCGTGTTTCAAGATGTGCTATTTAACTCGTAAATTTAAGATGAACTTTCAAACTCACAAACATACAATAAATTCTTAAGCTCGTAAACTCAAGATGAATTTTTCAGTTCATAAACAAATGATGAACTCTTCAACTCATAAACATACGATAAGTTTTTCAGTTATAAGCATATGATGAGTTATTAAGCTCATAAATACAAAATGAGCTCTTAACCTCATAAACATATGTAAGTTATTCAAGTCATTCTCGATCCACGTCAAGCAAGACAGCCTTGGTTCAGGACCGGGGGACAATTGATGATATCAAAAATTATCCAAGGTTAAGCTTGGCCCAAAAGTAGCTCAGACTTACCAGCTCAGGTCTTCCAACTCGGACTTCTCAACTCAGGTCTTCCACCTCGAGTCTCCCAACTCAAGTCTTCCACCTCAGGTTTTTCCTTGTGCACACTGTGACAGTGACTGCTCAAACTTTTCAAAAGGTTACGTTACACTTGGAAAATATAGTCTTTAACAGCAAAAAATTCTCAACACATGAGTCGTAACAACTCCCAGAGGATCACGTTGATTACGCAAAAATCTTTGTTGTTGGCATGTTGTGCAAGGATCACGACTGTTACGCAAGGATCATGACAGCTACTCAGGGATCACGCTGGTTACGCAAAACTTCTACACACTATACCTATGGACCAATCCCTTGCTTTGGGGGGGGGGGGGGGGGGG